AAACACCGATTGAGGAGTCAACAGGGGTCTTGATGAGCTTTGAGTGACGCTGAAAAAGCTTAAGCCCTGAAAGTCAACGAGGATTGAAAGAGAGCTTGCAGCGCCGCGGCCTCTCTGCGATCACCAAGGAGGCCTGAAGGACAAGGACCTGATTTGTTTAAGGCTTGCCCGGTGCGGAGGAGGACTCAAGAGCCGCCCCCTTGGAGGCAGCAGCCCTCATAGGCTTGGGATGCCCCCGGAGCCACAAGCGAAGGGGAGCAGGAAGGAGGCAGAGGTTAAGGAGCATAAATGCTAGCCCGGACAAGAACACTGGAGGACAATGAAAGAGGGTAGGGAGGATGTAAGGAGTGAGACCAACCAGGTGGCGGAAAGGTCCCGGATCCCCCTTGGGGGGTAGATGCTGTTTCAGCGGAGGGTGATGCTCCCGTCCACTGTTTGTGGTGTTTGGTGCTGGTTGTTTATTTACGTGACTTACGTAACAATATAGTTAACGTTTTGACCAGTCAGCCCGGATTTGCCGGTGTGAGCCCGCTTTTTTTTTAAGTGCCCGAGCGGCCCTTTCCCGCAAGATGGGCTGGGAGATTAATCGCTGCGTTGGATGGATGTTTTCTAGAGTACTTTCTTCTACAGACTCATTATCCAATATGGATGAAACTCGAAGAGCCAACCATAGACATACCATATAAATTAATCATAGACACCCCCTCGCGCGTTCAGTAGCTCATGAGAAGACAGACTGATTTATTTGATTCAGAGTTTGTGAGCTTGTATGTCAGTAGACAAGAAGCTACAGAGCGAGCGATCTAGTCAATGCGCTTATAAGTTACAACACTCTACCCACCCAGTTAACCAGTAGAAGCAGAGCGGATTCGGACCGAAACATCTAAGCTAGAGAGATCATCTATCTTATTGTTTAATCAAGGCCGTTCTACTTACATACCGAGAAATAGCTTAAAACAAGCAGTTACTGCATCTTCGATATAAAGCAACAGAACATAACAACACAGGGGCCAGCTTACTATTAAAAATAGCAAAGATAACCTGCTTTCATCACGATTTGGAGCTGGGAAGAGGGAGAATAAGGAGCACCAGTGCCTGGTGACCTATCTCTCAACTGGAGCCATCGGTCTCGACGATACAAGATAGCTCCTGTACTATAGAAGCTGTAAAATTGCCATTTTACAGGCCCGCCCGATGGGTGTATAGCCAATTTGCTTATATAGCTGAGTCTGGTCTAGCTTGTGTAGTTGGAGTGTTCGCCTCGAGCTCCGTTCTTCTATATATTCGGCAGCACGAGGTTTCGCGGCCCTTCTTGCTGTTACTCCTAAGTATCGGAAATACATCTCCACCCACGAGAGTAGACGACAGCCGTCTCCAACAACCTCTGCGCCCACTTCCGCAGCCGCTCTCCTCGTTCACGGCGAGTTTTAATGGGTGGAAGCCACCGAAATGCCCAGTGATTCGGCATCTGGTCAGTATCTCTCTCCCCCCCAAAGAATTTTTTCAGGTGGTAAACTATGATTGAACACAGAGGTGCATACGGTGAACATGTTAGGTACTGGAATGTTAGAATGTCTAGATGTGTTAGTTCACATTTGCAAATCCTGATATTGAGCAGAGCTATAACAAGTTTTTAAATCATGATACATCTGTGAGATAGATGCTATATCCACGTATACCTAGCTACCTTCTAAGTGAAGTAAGGACCTCTTGAAGAAGGCCGTTGAGTTCCATGTGTTTACTCTTACTTTTGTCTTAATTAAAAAAATAACTGTCAATGGTATATTTGTCCAAGTTGTAATTGAGTGAAGATATTTCTGTTTAGAATAATCTAAAACTAGAATTGTAATCTTATTAAAATAAAGGCTATGATCTTTCATTGCACTAAAAAGACTATAAAAGAGTCTCATTTATTTGACTATGTATTTAAGCTCGTACTGTGTGCGCCCTATCTTTGTTAAAGGCTTTGTGTGTAAAGTTAAACATTTATTGTAACTAGGCAGTACGCCCATAAATCCTAACAAATTCGCAATCAGTAAAAAATGAATCAAGTAGCTTAAACTCCAATTTAACAGCTTTTATACTCTAAAACACAGAGCACACGTCGCTGGAGAAAAACATATAATATTTTAGAAATATAATTAAAATAGATAAAATGATGGTAATTTATTTCTGAGATAGATGGACAAGGGGCAGAAAGGGCAGATAAAGGGCAAAATGGTGATCTGCGCATTCTGTTGACCAGCAACAGCTACAACCTGCTCAATGACAAACAAGACCCGCCCTCGTCCCCGGCTGCTATTGGTCGACCAGGGAACCCGGTGAAAGAAAAAAAAACACGATTGCTGAGCGGATTGAGAACTACAATCCCATTGCTCGTTGCAGTCGTGCTCGCTTCATCCACCGACCGGCGGCGTCTGACACTGAAATCTAGCGCATGCGGGCATTAAACTCGGTTACTTACGCTGTGCGGCGCAGGACAGATAAGTCTTGAAGAAGTCGCTTTCTCCGGGCTCCCGCTTTTATTCGTTTGCGCACAGGGCTTGGCATCATCTGCCACACTGCCGAGGTTAGAGGAGCTTGGGGCGAGGAGGGAAAGCACCGACAACCATCTTGGCGGAAGACGCTCACCAGCGTAGGGCGGGGGGGACGTTGACGTTAACGTGATATGACGGTTAAAATAGTGAATTGAAACTAACGAGCACGCCAACTGTAAAAAAAAAACAGATAAAAACACGAATCTAGATTCCTTATCTGACTCATTTTTCCGTAAATATTGTGGAGGTTTAGTGTGAGTCCACGCATAAGATGTAGATACTGAATATAATTATTGAATTTGATTGTTATCTATATGAGAATAATTGCATTAAATAAAAAAATGCATATAATTATCAAATAGATAAATAATCGATGCAGAAATTTGGGTCTTATGATCTCTATTTTAAGGTCCAGTATGATATTTTTAACAGCAGCATTGAATAAGAATATAAATGAACTTATAATATATTGTGAAATGTATGAGATAGCAGGTGAAACACCAGTAACTGAAGTATACGAATATTAACTATATTTAGTAGCCCAATTGAAATCAATCTGTATTGATTGTTGTTGGTATTGAGATGGTTTGTACCCTACGCACACATTGATTTGGGTTATTCATTAAATATAAATGAAGTTAACATTTAAAAATAAATGACATCAAGATTATTTAAGTCGGTGGTCGCTCAGTAGGTGATAGGTTGAATATATTTAATGTATATCATTTAAACTGTATAATAAAACTATTAAATGATTCTAATAATATTAATTTCCATTTATCGTATTTCATTAATAATATACTTGTTTTATATGATTAATGATAATAATTGTTTATGTATGAGGTTGGTAGCATTTCTTACCTGGATATATGCGTGAAATTCTGACCTCAATCCCCTCTGAAAAAACAAATAAAACTTCCCTTAAAAGAAGAAAAAACATCACGCCTACAAATATAACATCTAACTATATAATCCGTCTTAGACTTTCTCTGTAGGCCTTGCTTGCAAGTTCATTAATTACTAAATGTGTCGTTGATATCTGTAGCGGACGCGCTCAATAAGAGTCAATTAGCTCGGCCTGTTAAGTTGTTTTGGTGTGTATGTGTTCCTGTAAGAATTACGCAAGCTATAAACTACTTTTTTATTTATATTACTTATATTGCATTTACATTTAAAAAAGCACAAGTAAAAACTTGCCACTCAGTACGATGTATGCTTCAACTGGACCCAGCTGTGGTAGAACAGTCGGGTTAGCACAGTAGGAGGACAAGCCAGAGGGCTGGACTCTACAGCCAAATAACTCGACTCAGTATGCAAGCGATGCGTAAATGGTCTGGACAGACCACGCCTAGAGAAAACACAAGACTGAGGCTAAGAAAATATCACAGTAACAAATGTGCTAATATTGTTATATTAGAAGTATAAAACTATAAATTAGGTATATACACTATTGTTGTTCAAGTTGGACAGAAAATTTACACACTAAACTTAAAGACTAAACTTTACTTAAAGTGGGGAAATTAACTATAAATAGTGCAAATATTATAAGACTACTGGAGCCGTTAGAAGCACATTTTACTTTATATCAAACAACTGCAGCTTCTGTGATTTAACATTAATCTGATACACTAATGGGATGTAATCCTAATTAGTATCATTGGTAACACCTGCAGCTATCCTATTTTCATATCACAATGGCTGCTGTGAAAAAGAGTCTATAAGAATACAACCAACTTACATTCCTACATCCAGTGATGCCTGACCTTCAGGGACATTGAAGTCTGTCTGCTGTGTTAAAATGCTACCGTTCTGTGGTTATAATGTTCGTTTCAAAAGGCTGGAAGAGCCAGGTTGCAGCTTAATGGCCTCAGTGCATCAACACTGTTGTGCTGCTGGGGAGGAAAGCTGTAGCTTCTGCATGCTGCTGGTCACGAGCACTGACTGGATGGCACAATACATGGCTTCCTATTTTCGGACATATGGTACTTTGAGGCCGCTTAATTTCACAACCCCCCCCCGGTTTAATGACCAATTGTCACCGGTTGCTTCCTGGCTGCACCCCCCCCCCAACTAACACTTAAACCCACACTATAATACTATAATATAGCCTTAACTACTCTAGCTGGCTGGCTAGTTAGCCCCTCTGCGTGCTGCGCTTGTAGACCCTCAATGCCGAACTGCGTTTAAAGATATACAACTTAACATAGATCTTGATTATAAACGTAGAAAATGCAACACCAATTAAGACATTTCAGTCATAATGTAGTATTAAGAGCTACTATTTAATTCGGCTTTCATTCTGTCTGTAAATACAGACTTATTCCAATAAAAAATGAACTTTAAGGAACGGTTTCCAGGTGTCATCACAGCCGTCCATCGCTGATTATCGCTACAATAAATCGCCACTTTTCTCTATGGACTTCGGTCTGGAGAGGAGCTACCGGCTACCGTAACGTTACTCACTTCTCTGTCGCAGAGTCCTTGGAGGATTCATTCTGGTTGTCACCTTTGGAGCAAAAGCCTCTCACGCCGGGCCTTCTGGCGGGGTGCAGCGGGGCTCTCCACCCGGAGAAAGCCCCCCCTCTGCCCGGCGACCTCCCATCCAGACGAGCGGTGCTGAAGCAGGCGGAGGCTGCAGGTTTAACACCGACTCTACCCGCCAACGGACGCTTCAGCTGGGTCTGAAATAACTCCTTGAGCGCTACCGTTGACCGAAAATGTAACATTTCAACCCCGTCGAGAAGAGTATCTGGATGGTGTTTAACTACGGTAAATGTGCGCGGTTACCGATGAGAGTGTCGGTTGCTTCCTCCGGTCGAGTAACGGTTTTCCCGGTGACTCAACAACCGGGACGCAACCTACCCTTCACGCTGCAAGAGTTCTGATTGGACCATGAGATCACATACCTGCACCTGATTGGCCAAGAGGGCTGTCAATCATCGGAGCGGTCTCGCCTACTGTGTTGAGCTGCTGTGGGTCGTGATTTTGTGTTTATCTCCATCACTTTCGTCACTTAGTGAACATTTTAAAGCGATTATGGATTAATACTTACTTTTAAAGTATTTAAAATGAGTTTCCCACTTAATACCAGTTTAAATGAGACAGTCAGAAACTGTAGTATAGGACAGATCACTACTGACTGAGTTCCAGTTAATAACTACACTATTATAGTGGATAGAAAATAATCTAATATACAAATGTTTAGGGGCTATTACAATAAACACCCCCTTAATATATATCCCTTATTTAACCAGGTAAAAGACTAATTAAGATTAAAATCTCCTGGCCAAGATGGCAGCGTAAACATTGTAGACAGTAAACACAAACAACACAAACAGACACATATAATCAGTGTCACAGTAACATGGAATATAAGGTCAGGGAATAAAGCAACTAGGATGCAAACAGAGAAACATTTTAAGGAAAGATGATTAAAAATGTTAAAATATATATAGAATTATGTGTATTATTATAAAGTATAATTTGACAGAATCAGGTAAAATATTAACTGAGCCAAATTAATATTTATAGTTTATCTCTAACATAATTCTTGAGTTTTAAGTCAAACCTGAAATTAACCAATATTAATGATAATTTACTTTTCTTCTTCAGAAAAACTTAAATCTTTAAGTTTGAAAACAAATCTGTATTTCATAATTTAATACATGTGATATATTAATAATAATAACATATATATAATTTCATATTTTAAATTGCAAATTCTCACACAAATAATGAAAATGAAAAATTCTGTTTAAGTTTTTTTAAAGAAGAAAAGTGAATTAGTTCCATATTCAGTTTGACTGAAAACTTAAAAATGTATAAAGACAGTTTTTCTGTATTTCAACATTGTATTTAATAAGTTAATCATTAAGAGCCAGATGCACTTCAGGTCCTTATTATATGTCTGATATCTGAGTGATATACAGGAGTAAGTCCTACCATATTGTAATGTCTTGTCTTGGTGTGACACCATTTGAAGTATTTTGGTACTGCACATAATCAGCCTGCAGTTTTCCTCAGCAGATGGCGTCTCTGTCTTTAAAATAGTTACAGCACCATCTCCTGGCTGGAAGTGATTTTAGTCCACAGGCAAAAGCAACACACTGACAATCCAATAATAGACTCTAAAAACAATCTTATTAGTTATTAGGTAAAGGTTTAGAGTTGGATGCACATTTTTACGCTCTATTTGTTTTATTACGTGCATGAAGCTTTGTTGTATTTCTGGACACCGTGTGCACAATTCTAAGATTTACACTGACTCAATTATAACCATTTCTTAATTAAAATGTATGGCAAAGTCAGTTCTGTTTCCTTTTATGTGGGCTAATAAAACAGATTCAATCTTGAAGGTTTAATATGTGAACTTACTGTACTGAACCTGAGTCAGACAGCATTTTAAATATTTGTTTTGACCTCCTTTGCAGTCTGTGTGGGTGGAGTTTAACACCCGGTGTAAAATAATGACCTTCAAAAGCGATTACTCACTGGAAAGTATTTTGTAAGTTGCTTCAGTTTACTTTTCCGTGGCTGCCAACTTTTATCTGACTTTATCTGAATCTCCGTAAACTCCATCCACCTGGAGCTCCAAGTAGGATAAAACACGTAAATCGTGTTTACTAACGTCTCACTTGCAACATGAAACATTCATGAATTTGGACAAAATTCACTGGAAGAAACACAAACATGTTTCCTTGTAATGAGGTCTAGAATTAAAGGGGAATTCCAACAAAGTTTTCCTGTAGGTTGTTATTTTACAGGAATCTATATTTTTATTTTTAAAAAATCCCTTTTTGCCGGTTTCCGAGTCCTGACCTTCAAATGTACTCTAGATTGAATAGATCTCAACCCCATGAACCTCTCAAAGGTACAGTGTGTAACATTGAGTCTCCAAAGGTACAGTGTGTAACATTGAGGAGGATCTATTGGCAGGAATGGAATATAATATTCATAGATTAGTGTATGATCACCAGAATCGCCACAGGTCACCTTCCATTGAGTCCGCCATGTTGAACAATGTTTCCACAGTTGCTCAGAATGGACAAACCAAACACTGACTTTAAATAGGGAGTTTCCATAGTTTCTCCCACACAGTCTGTCTCATTCCAAGGTCGTCAAATACAGACGCGAGCGGTGTTCAGTTAGCTGCTAGTTGGTACTAAATCATCCACACTGGTCCTTTAAAGTGATGGGACCTTTCTTTAGAGCCAATGCACGCCGCTGTTTTGGACCGTTTTTAAGGAAATTGTTGATTCTACAGTGATATTTGAAACATTATGGACAGAGCTGTTCCTGTTTCAACATGATATTTCATGTCCATTAAGGACTGTTTTTTTCCAGTTTGGTGTGGAAGAACTTTACTGGCCTACACAACGTATTGATCTGTACCCCATCCAGCACCTTTACAATGACCTTACCGCCCAATACCAGTGCTGGACCTCAATAACGCTGTCAAAAAACAGAGAAATGTATGTTTTGATTTAGTTTGATATCAGGAAGGTCGTTCAGTCTTGCTTTTATTAGTGAAAAGATATATCAAAGTACATAGTAGCATAAAAGTATCTATTATTGTTGAGCTTGTTTATTTATGCTTATTCTGTGTGCACTGTACATGTACATTGAGAGAAACCAGAGTCAAATTCCTTGTATGTGTGCACATACCTGGCTAATATAAGTGATTCTGATTCTGATTTATAAGCAAAACCTTTTCTCCACCATTGCTTCTAAAAATATAACACAGTTGGATTCAATGTGCAATATAAAAAATAACTTCAATGCTTCAAATGTTACATTTGACCAACATGTACAAACATGTCAAACAAAGCTGTCTGTCAGTGTTTCTATAGATTTTTATTTGACCCTGAAGTTAACCGTTTCAATTATTTTGTCCTTTTGTTTCTGTCTTTGGGTGCAACATGTAAAAAAGAAATAAAAGCGTGAGAGCTGCCACTCATTCAAACTAACAGCAGCTCTCAGATTTTGTGCAGAAATCCCCCATGAGCCGCTGCATTTTTGCTGCATGCAGCAGTAAACCAGAAAACAAAGGAAGGAAGGAAGGGAGACAAACAAGTCGATCCCTAACGAAGCTGCAGGGAGGAGAGGCGATAATTCACCAACACCCACACCTTCTCAAAAGCAGTCAGCTTCCTGCTCCTTTCAAAATGAGGGTGATGGGTGCGCTCGGCAGATCCCTCCCACGCTGCTTAGCGGCTGGCTTCCGCCCACCGCCCGTGGAGCCGCCCACCTCCAGCCGTTGCCACGGCAACACATCATCATCAGTGACTTGCACTGGAGGAGGAGGACAGGGAGGGGAGGGGTGGCCATTTGAGCGCCGAGCAGGGCTGCCACTGTGAACAGCAACAAGCATGGGTGTTCATGAGCTGAGCTTTTCTCCAGAGAAAATCTGTCTACGTGTGTGTGTGAGAGAGGGGGGGCGAGAGAGGGATGGAGGGAGTGGAGAGAGGGAGGATGATGGGAGGTATGTGAAAAGGACCTGCGTCAGAGTGAGTCACCAGCCAGTTTCACAATGTGTTGATGTGACGCTGATGCAAATGGCCTGCACAGGGATTCATCTGAGGAGAGAGAAAAGAAGAAGAAAACAAACAAACAGAGAAGCTCCTTTAAAGGAAGCTGAAATGTCCTCCATCCGCTTGGATTACCAGGCACTTTTACTGTTCGTGCTGGGAAAACACTGGGGCTTCCCTGCCTTGCTCAAAGGCACCTTCACGGTTGTTGCTGGATGACTGTGCCTCAGATTTTCCAGCTGGGATCCACTCAGTTTTATGAGCAAGACACAGAAACTCCACCAGCTCCTCCCAGTAGTGGGAAACTGATATATAATTTACCAAAACATTATTATCACTACATTATAGTGTTACAAAAGACTACAAGCTATTATCACAGCACTATAAAGACCTTTTCTGCCCCTTTAAGCACTGTACTCGATAATCTGACTTCAGCAATGACTTCAAAACATCTGTCTGGTGTTCTTTGCCTAAATATAAATCGTCTTTATTAGTTATAATTATTATTATTAAAGAGGTCAAACTGGCTAAAATGCTGAAATGTCAAAGATACATTTAAAGCTATTTCTCTATTACTAACATAAAGCACCAACAAGCTGATAAACTCTAAAATGTCCCATTCCGTACAGATGTTGATCAATGAATTATAAATGATTTAATAACCACACCTAAAAGATTTTATGTGATAGGTCTTCTGTCCAGGTATCAGCCTCGAAAATCCATTGTTGACTGGGCTATATTAGTCAACAGTCCTATTACCACGGCAACACACATACCCAAGGTTTAAGCTGGATCCAGATGACATTGATCACAGAACGCACCTCACAATAGAGTTCAAAAAAATAAAGTTTAATGTTTATGTGCTGTATAACAAATAAAATATATTAGTGTTTAAAAAACAGGTGCATAACTAGGTGAAGCCTAATCTATCACTTTACAATAAACAGTGAGGAGAACAGTGGTCAGTGAGACGGCAGGTCAGACATGCGCTATTCTCTGAAACATCGTACAGTCACGCTAACTAGGCCAGTGTTTGAGGCAATCAGGCTGGAAACAAAAGATTGTTTTTGTCCCCGAACCACGATGGCCTTATCTCCCAGAATTCACTAGCTAATTTAGCTTTAGTAAACAAGATTTTTACAACAGATCACGACTCCAAATGATAGTTTCTTGCCACAGTGGCTGCTTGAAACAAAACAACCTCATGGAATTTCATGAAAAGAACACATCTTTGCACACTAAAAGTAAGACAACACAAACATTTGCCAAGTTGCAGGTGAATTCCCACCTTGACAGACATACAGTTACTGAGCACATGACAAAACTATGGATCCATATAGTATGCAAATAGACTTATTACTTACATAAATATTGCATTGGTCTGTCATTACGCTGAGTGAGACTAAACTATATGCAGGGAGTAAGGGGGGAAAGGAGAGTTAGACCAAATTGTATGGACATTATTATCATTTTGGACCAAACAGACGTATTTACACAGTGTGGCAAACACATAAAAACACAGTGAACACTTAGTTGTTATGTAATTACCTCTAAACAGCAAAAACACATCTTTGAAATATGCACTGATGGCCATCACAGGTGGATTAAACACTGTTAAGAGCTAAGGCTAATCAACATTATCATCATGTAAAGCATGTTTTTATATACCAGACACTTTCACACTGTTGTATTTTTTCCTCAATGACACTTAAGTTTTCTTTTTTTTGTTTTTGCTCTACATACATAAACACTGTATTGACACCAAAAATCTACAGCAAAGTTACACTTGACAAAGGAAAACCCTGGTTGAGAGATTAGGCTAGCACTATTTGTTATCTTGGTACTATTTACAGACCCCAGGCTGCTGCTCCACGAAGAACAGCAATAAACAGGAATTTTGCTTTTTGCTGCTGTTGTTGAAAAACCACATACCTGCAATCTTTAATATTAGATTCTTTCAGTTGAAAGTTTACATGTTGAGTGATTTTAACGATCTGTGGGGCCTGCTGAAAGCTGGTTGGATCTAAAAAATACACAGGCTTTATTCCTGAAACACTCCCTGTTTGCAGATGCGTGGTTTCGGTTCAACAGCAGTGTTTTGCTAAATTACAAAGTGAAATGAACCAATTAACTTGGCCTCCGGCATGCCAGCCCAGCACTCCTGCCAAGACAAATGACAGAAGTCCCCTGCTGTTATTCCACAACATGCTATACATCCTCTTCTTATATTACCTCCGATAAATATACACAAGACAAGAGCGAGGAAGGAAGGATTAATTCCACCTCTCCTGTTTTCCCATTTTAAGTGAACGACAAAAAAACTAACCCGGGCTGAATCCTAACTCAATCTCCCTACAGTACTTTTACACCTTTGTTTTGAGTTACAGTACAAATGCAGACACCTAAGTTGGATTTGGGAGAATGATGGAGCTCAGAAGATCTGGGGTGACGGCCAGGGAAATGACAATAAGCAGCCAGCCAAATGCTGCTAAATCTTTGGCTTTTGCTGGTAAGTTTTAAGATCTTCTTATTTAGTTCTAGTTGCCTTGTATTGTTGGTAATGAAAATGGACAGTGAATGTTTGGATACCAGCCATCTCAAAATCAGTAAACATCAACATCAAACACTATGTGTTGATGCGCTGTGTTTGAATCTATTGTGGACGCATTAATAATGTACTTTTAGAGTAATAGTGATTAATTCCACATACCAGATATTCCTATCCAAGACTACAAGTCTACAGACACGCTGCAAGCTAATGTTTAGCTAGTAGTGTTTGCCATGGTCACCATCTAAGCTAATAATTAATTAGCACCATACAATATGTACAGCTGTGGCTGATGGGAATATCATTAGTTCTGCAGGTATTTGGTGATAAAACAAAGTACTGGATAATTAAGTTTTGACTTCATGATGTCAAGATATTTCACTCTGACTCTGCAGATGGCGTTAAATCAAATATCAGAGGACCACCAAAGTCTTTAGGATTTATCCTCTGAGGTGCATGAATGTCCTTACCAAATTTCATGGCAATCCATCTAATATTTATCAAGATATTTCTGTCTGGACCAAAGTGGGGGATTTACCACTCCGAAAGAAGCACCACCACTACTGTAGTTAAAAACCTGCGATTTCTCTTTGCGAGAAACACTGGATACTTGAAATATTTTGGAATTTGAAATTTTAGACTCAATACTGGCAGCATCTGCAGCTTTAAGGTACAAGTGAGTAAAGGAGGCCATCAAAGATTGAATATGGTAGTCATATAAAAGATGCTGAACGTGCCACAGTTTGGACATTTTGTTTCTGTTTCATCTCTGAATCTACATTTGAGTTAAGACTCAACCCGGCACCACAGCCTGTAAACTGGCTGTCCAAAGAAAGCAACAAAAATACCACCCAGGCAGAGGTAAATAGTATACAAATGTCTGCAACAGATCGCTCTTAAATTACATTATCTAACGTGTACAGTTAATCAACAGACAAAGACCTGTGGAGCACAGAAGGGCTTCTCCACATGCTCTCTAGGTGCTTTGGCAAATACCTTTTAAACAAAAAAACAAAACAAAACACAAAATCAAAGAAAAATAAATGCTATTCATGAGGCAACATTGGTTGTTAAGGCTCTACTGTGGCTGTGCTTGCTTAGTATCTATGTATTGACGGGTAATAACTGCATACTGTCAAGTGTGAGTAGAATGAATTGAGGGTGGGTACAAGGGGTAAAGGAGGGTGGTAGAGCGAGGCAGGAGGCACTATGTGGAGTCTTCTGGCTCTGACTTGATCGTCTTCTTGTCTGTGTTGCTGGACACTCTCTGCGATGTCCCGTTTTCTAAAGTTGAAGACGAAGATAAAGGACAGAATCATCAGCAAAGAGGTTTATAATGCAGCATAAATCCTTGTAGAAGCTCACAAATTAGTAACTGTAGAGCAAATTTAATACAGATTTTATGTACCCAAACTCTTGCCTAATGTGTCTTCGAGCAAGGCCTAAACCCTCTACCTACTTGCCCACTGTGAGCCCTGAATAGCAGCCTCAACATCACTAACCTGTTGCTGGTGTTTTGGTCTCGTCTGTGTTGTTGTTGTTGTTGTGGTTGTGATGGCGCTTCAGTTCATTGGCTAGCTGCTTGCCAAGTGGGAGGTCGCCTTCCTGCATGGTCTGACTAACCACCCGCAAGTTGATTGGTCGTTCATCTGGAGGACAGATATTGACAGAAACACAAAAAACAAACAGGATTATTTTCATTTTGCTCAGAACTTCTTAACTCACCTCAGGATCAGCTCTTGCTACTGTGTAGTATTTACCAATCAATGATAAGTAAACATTCAATCAAGCTGTATTTATCATTAATCAGAATTAGACTTAAGTCAATCCAGTTAGATAAAGGCAAACATCAGCCCAGATGTTTTTCTAACACTAGCTTTGTTCTACATGTTCAGTATTCCCAGTGGTAACAAAACCTGTGTTTATGTAAGTTAAACTCCTGAGCCCTTGTGTTTGCCTTTAATTTCCTTTGAGAGAAAGCCAGAAAGAAATAAAGAGAAAGGAAGGTTTTACTGTATTTTCTGCATCACTAGACTGCTCTATGCTTAATATTGACATGCAGTTAATACTTCATTTTACAGATTAAGTTCACATGCACACTAGTATCCTATATGTTACTACAACTTATAAATCTATGTGATTAAAACATTATTTAGCTTTCTATTCATTTGCGTGCAGGTGAGTATTTGACTCCTCAATATCACAGCCACTTCATGCCTTTTCTGTATCAGCTGAGTTACCTCAGCGGTGAACGATGAACCCACTTTGGTTTCTGGCTTTTCGCCAACAATGTTAGATGAGAGTGACACTCAAGTTTCTCCTTCGCACTACTGACTTTTTCTATCACTTTCATTTCAATCCGTCAATTCAGTTGTTGATCATCATATTGTTGTTTTCCAGACTGCTATGCAACTAGAGTTGATGAGGCACCTGCGTACATGGCAGACGGTAACCTGGATAAGGTGTTTAAGTGCCACAGTATCAGAGAGCTTCAGCTAGCATAGTAACTGTAGCTTTCTCAAAACCAAGTTTCTGAAAACAGGATATGATGCTTCCATATTGTCCATATTTTGAAACAGTTTCTTTGGATTGTCTTCAATCTCTGAACACTGCACCCCAACTTTAGGGCTGCAGCCAATTACTAATTTCATTATTGATTAATCTGCTGATTACTTTCTTAACTCATTATTTTTATTGTTACATTTAGGTCAGTTTAGATCCAGATAACAAGCACATTTTCTGTCAAGTAAGTTGCAACGGCAGCTTCTTCTCCATCTTCAACTTTCTGCCATATGGTGTGCTGCATGTAAAACCCTTTGACAGTGTCTGGAGTTTGTTTTCAGTACACTGGTAAAAGAGGCTAGTGGTGTTTGAGTTGTGGGGACCTGTCTGCAGGCGCGTTTCCAGACTTCTTTGACTGGAGGGGGCACAAGAGGGGCACAAACTTATGCAGTAGTGGCATGAAGTATGTGTCTTGGCTTTCTGGTCCCCATTCCCAATTTATACAATTCCAACACTGTTTATGGAACCCAGTATGCAGAAATATTCAAATATGCTAGGCAAAAACAACACCTATATACCACATGCAAAAAACAACAACATGTTTTTGCCCAAAAACGACATGGGATTAACCTAGAGTGGGCACGTCTGCACAGGGGAGACTTGGGGAAGACGGGAGTGTGGGGTGGAAGAAGTAAGGATATTGGGGTGGCCAGTCAGATTTCAGGGGTCATGTGACAATATGATGATACATCATATCGCACAGCCCTAGATATAAAATACAGAAAAATGCCACTTATAATGTCTGACATCTCAAGGTGATGTATATAATATATTCAGTTTAATGTCACATATGACAAAATCTATTATCAAAGTAGTTACCAGTTGCCAAAACTTTCTTTTAAATTAATTGATTCATTGTTGAAAAATATACTGAAATGTGGTGGTGAATAAATAAAACATTCTGGCTCTATGTTATTCATTTCTGGCAAAATACATGGATATTCAATCTCAAGCAGGTTTTGGCAACTTTGTGGTGATACTGAGTCAATTTAACTTGTCTAGTTGAGCTGTTTTAGTGTCTAGAAAGAGAGAATATAAAAAGAGAAGACATACAGTATATATAGGAAAAGAAAGGATGAAATAAAGGCAGTGGTATAGCAGAGAGAGCTTAAGAAATGGAAGAGGACATGAAGGAGAAGGAAATAAATGACAAGTGACAGAGAGGAAAAAAGAAAAGGGACAAGAGGAAGAAAAAGAGGAAGAAAAGCAGAGAAGAGGGGGAGGAGAGCGAGAGGTAGAGAGAGGTTGACAGAGAAAGAGAGAGAGAGAGACGCCCCCCTCCAGGCAACTGGCTGGAGGTAAACAGGCGTGGGAGTGATAATTACAGGTGCATTGTGGGATTTGTGGGAACAGCGATATAATGAGCTGTCGGGAGTGGGTGAGGAAGGAAAGGGATGAAAATGAGACGAGGCCCTGAGGAGAAGTAAGATCCTGAATAATGATGCATCTTTTTTTTTCTTTCTTCCTCCTCCCCTTGTGTTTGAGAAGTCAAAGCTTAAAAAAAAGTGACAGCTGCCACAACCGGGTGCGGAAAATCCGCACCCATAGGTGTTGTTTCCATCCACACAGCGACGTACACATCCTGTGGCATTTATGACATGAAATAAATCTCTTCAAATTAACCTGCAAGAAAGATCAAGTCATATTAGGCTCTGATTGTTTCTGTTGAGCTTAACAGCCAACAATGCAAGCCACAGCTCGGTGTTTCCTCCTGATTGGACATTAGGGGCAGCAGTGAGCCAATTACAACTTGGCAAACCAGAATTTGGCAAAAAAAAAACGATGCTCAAACTAAACCTGAACAAGCCAAACAAAGGTGAGATTTATGCTTCAAATTTAGGATTTCTGTGTCGTCGAGTTACATCAAATATTCTTACTCAGATTGGAGCTATAAAAACAGATTAAAAAAGTTCTAGTTAAGCGCTTAGCCTTCCACCAGTCTCTGTTGATGTCTTTTGTGTTTCAGTTTTTTTTTAATTGCAGCCATTTTGTCTGTGAAATGTCGATGATGCCCTACCTTGGTGGTCCCTGGTGGCGTCAGCTCCGTTGGTGTTCTGGGCGTCGTTGAGGTACTTTAAGGCGGCGGGGGGAATCCTCCAGTCCAGAGCCTGGAGTCGTTCCTGGACGGCGGCGTCCTGCAGGATCTCCATCTGCCTGGCCAGCAGACGCTCCAGCTGCATCTGATAGACACAAACAGATTGTAGGAAGAATTACAGGAGCAAATATATGAAGTCAAGAAACAGCAGAAAACGACATGATCTTTAAAATTAAACTGGATGTAAGACACTGATGTGACTTTTCTAGATCAACCTCTTTTTTAGGATGTTATGACACACAGACCTCTGAATCAGCCACGGAGGCCCATAGAGCAGAGCATTTACGCCTTTGTTAACTACAATGGGGATAAATATAATAATTGTGCAGCTCTCCCAGATTTCTGATAGTGAAACGAGTTCCTGCACCCTGTAGTCTCTGCATTAGAACTAACAGTAGCCAAGCAGTATGTATAATTGTTAAAATGTTGATATGTTCAAATTCTTTCACATTAGTTTCACAAATGTGGTGGTTTGCTGTTAGCTTCCTGTTCTTCTTCACATTTTGGCTCGTTAAACGTGACTCTGTGATCACTTACGTTACAATTCCACCTTCAGGCAGTCGTTGAGCATTAACATGGAGGACGAATGAAGCAAAAACTGACAAACAGTTGACACCTCAGATTCATGGAAAAGTGCAGGAATAAAAACAGCAGTTATATCTGCTTATTGTCAGTCTGCACGTCACTGTCAGCTCAGATTATTATGGGACATGCTTTACATCCTCACAGTGAAACGTCTGATATGAGCGGCGGCTCAGAGGGCCTGCGGTGTGAATGCAGCCATGAAATCTCTTCTTCTTCTGAATGCGATTTCTGAGAAATCACATCAAAATGACAAGTGTAACTGCAGCCACACAGACAACTGATAGAGCCCGAACAGGCAAATACATGGAGGCCAGACACCTTCACACACGAATCATGTGTCTTCCACAAGCACTTCACATGAACATGTTTCCTGCGTAATTAGTTATCATAAAGCTCTCCTCCCACACTCCGGCTCTAATTAGGAACAAGCCACAGCAGCAGAAACCAATAAAGACCATTACTGGGATCAAACTGGATCCTGCTGCCAAAAACATCTGCTGGTGAGAACCTGACAGCTGATCCGTTTGAGCGTTAGAGTGACTCTGCGTGTCGGGTTTTATACCTGATACTGTTGTTTTCAACCTTCCCATCCCATAATATCAGAAAGAAAGAAGACAAAATGTTGTGTGTTGCTTTAATTATCGATCTTTGCTGTAGTCGTTTGACAAAAGGAAAAATAGGCAATGAGCAATCCAAATGTAGTAAGTGGCCCTTGAGCATGCTTATACATACTTCAAAATTCGGAATTTCCCCATTGTGGGACAAATAAAGGAATATCTTATCTTATCTTATCTTATCTTAAAAGA